CTTGTACGAACCTGTGTTGTGCATTCAGGAGTTAAATGATCGCTTGGGGTAATATGGAGGGGCTAGTTTGTCTGTGGAAGGTCTTACCGTGGTATTGAGCCGCAGATATGGTCGCACCTATAGATGAACCCGGCTAGAGTTGAAGGAACTGGGCATAGTAGTATTGTACATGGTATTGAATGAGTATTGAAGAAACCCCATGCGAACCCTGCTTGAACCTCGCTGGCACATAGCAAGTACTTGACTACAGTATAATATGTGGGCCCAGAGAACCCTAGGTCTCCTACTCCCTGCCTCTCCCTAGGAAGGCCTCTCTCTAGACGTCTGGGTACCATGGGTTTCCCAGTTAGAGGGGGGCCTTCACAGTGGAGGGGAATCACAGTGGGTAGTATGTCTAGGTGTGTTCCCCCTTGTGTGTGTCTCGAACCACGGGGTAAAAGGCTGTCTCATCTCTGGGGTGTGTGGGGGCGGAGGGGTACAGCAACCTTGTGGTTGGTAGGGCTGAATGGTTGGGGGTGCTTAATGGGTAGTTCACCGATCGAAGGGAGTAGTTGACTCACACACAAATTGGCCTCATGGGCCACCTACGATGACTGCATGGGTAGGTGTGATATTTCGTCGTAGGTAGTCTAAGTAGTTAAGAGTCTGCCTGACGACCAGTAGGTGTGAGTCGATGCTTGTCTCATGGACTAGGACCACCTAGCAGGCTGGTCGTCTCTAGGCAGTGTATAGACATCGGGGTACTCTCATAGCCCCGTCATCAGAGTCCTAGGGCCCACCAGGGACCAGGAAAGGGTAGGCTATGAGATGGGTGTAGGGGCTGGAGGGACTACTAGAGAGGATGCCGATGAAGTATGTCTCGGGAGGAACTACTAGAGAGGATGCCGATGAAGTATGTCTCAGGTAGGAGTTGATTGAGCCTGTCTCCTGAGTAGTGGATAGGATAGGTGGTCCAGGAGGGGGGTGTACTGTACGTTAATAGGAGGGAGGGAGGCTTTATGTCTGTCCAAGGGGGAAGCGGCTAGGGTTCTGCTAAGCCAATGGTTGGGGGCAAAGCTGCTTAGAGTGAAATCGCAATACATCCAGTTAAAGGTTGGATCTGTAGGGACAGAATCTGATCTCTGGTGATAAGCTGTATGGTGTGGAAGGGACAGGACTTGCGATAGGATAGGTCTCTAAGCCTGTATATGATTCCATCTAGGAAGGTCCAGAAGGGCCAAGTGGGTCATTCCGAACTGCGAGTGACTGAACCCGGGAGAGTATCCCTGCGCCTGATCACCTGCCTCTACAACAACCTGGGGCCTGGGAGTTAAAAAAAAAAAAAAAAGGTGCTGAGGTGATCATACTACTATCCTTAGGATGGATATAATGATGTTGAGATAGGAATCAGGGAGCAAGGGACATAGAGACAGTAAGAGACACGGAGTCAGCCAAGACCAAGGTACGAGGGCCAAGAGGGGGTGTAAACAGGACACGATGGACGGGATGAGAGTAGGACTAGTGTGGATAAAGGTGGAAAGCAATGATTTAGTGACGTGTGGGTTTTGATAGGCGGCCTGAGGAACTGTACGGGAGGCCCCTCCCTGCGCCCCGCCTCCCTGAGGGCCACCCTGCTGCATGTCGGGGGGCTGCTAGTAAGCGTCCCGGCCATCAGAGTGGTCCCTGGAGCAACGGCATGGTTTGGGGGGGGTGGGACCCCCTTTTGCAGCTCCCCTGTTACATGCTGAAAGCCTACACACGGGCCCCTCACGGGACCCGAGGTTGGAATAGGGCCCCCAGGTCGCGTCACCGCAACCTGAAGGCCCTATGGCATTCTTACTTAGGCCTGCATCAGAAAAACGCCAGCTTTAGATTATTTTTATATTCTTTTATTTATTTATTTGCTGCTGTTTTTCTAATGGTTGTACTCTTGTCCGTTTTGTGGCCAGGTACACGTTTTAGGACCAGGGCCAGATTCAGGCCCAGAGGCTGAGCTCCTAAAAACGTTTGGACCTTTTCTTTTGTTTTCGAACAGATTGCTACCTGTTCGGACCCAGGCCGACGTTGAGGCCGGATACGTCCGCACAGGACCGGTTCGAAGCCAGGTACCAGGAAACTGAATCCTGGACAGGGCCTGGACGTCCRGTAGGGACCCAGGCAGGCCGTTTTAGGCCAAGGGCTGAACCAGTTTCAAAGCCTGCGATCTGGACCGTGGATCGGATTTTGATCTGCACGGCCCAGAACGCAGGCCGTGGGTTTTCAGTCCTGGCCCAGCGCTACATAAGCTGGGCCGTTGCCCAGTTCGGGGGCAGAAGGTACCAGGAGAAACCCAGCGCTATGCTGGTTCAGGAACTTGGCTGCTGCGCTATTTTGGAGACTCCCTGCTGCGCTATTTCGAGACTGCAGCTGCGCTGCTCATCGGCCATGAGGCACAGCGCTGGAGGAGTACAGCGCAGGGGAGGGTAGTGGAGAGAGAGAGAGAGAGAGAGAGAGAGAGAGAGAGAGAGAGAGAGAGAGAGAGAGAG